AAATGGAATATGCGAAACTAGTCTTCACGTTACAAAAGCGTATACAAATTGTCAGAATGCTTATTCTGCGAGAGTTCAGACAAACCGCTCTTTTATAGTATGCCATGGTACAAACCACTATTGTCGTTCAACTTCGTAGTCTGAACCAGCCTGAGATCTTACACGCTTATATAGTGCGTGTTCTTTTAAATGTAGATATTTTCTTTTTCCTTACCCTATCATTTCGGTTTTACTGGATGAGATCTCGTAAGTGGCCCTTGATTTTTAAGAAGCTTGACTCAGCTTTTAATACCGCTATTATAGCTGGCAAGACGATGTGTAATGTTACTAAAAGAAATATATAGCGTTAAGTCTTTAATGGATAGAGATGACCAGGCCAAAATGGTCAACTATTGCAGTCAATAGAAACAAGCTAATACAACTTAGCTAGAACACGATCTCTTGACCAGATGTGTAGCAGGAAGCTTAATGCGGAATACCATTACCCTGAGGCGCTAAAATGATACACAAACCGCGGATATTAAAGGCTCTGTAGCAGAATTTGCCCATCATCTAGGCATACTATAGATACCTGACCTAGAATTCTAAAATAGATTCTACACTCCGAAGATTTAGACACATCTATAATAGTTGCCCACATTTCACACTGGCACCAAATACTCACCCTTGAGCAAACCCAATTTTCTACTTTTGTATCGTAAAGCTCAATTTTGAATAAATTCAAACCTGAAACGGAATAAGAATAAAACTGCTTAAGTGCTCCCGTTAATTTCTATCTAGTCAAGACGGAAAGTGGTTGTTTGTTAAACCTTTCCCTACGACAGCCCTGGCACTAGAGTTGATCCATCCTCGCCTTAGCTGTGGCATTGAAGGATTAGTAACATACAGAAGAAACCAGAGCGTTAATTCGATGCAATAGCGTTGTTTATCTGTTAATTAATAGCTTCGGTAAAAATCAACACCTCAGCGGAAGCTTAGGGACATGGCGGCCCCAGTCAGCTGAGCAGCACGGGATGATGCTCGCCCTGGACTTCTACCATAAAACGTAGCATCTTAGGTCTTTTTGTCGAGTGATCTAATGGTGATAGGAAAAAAGGAACTCATTTTACTTCAGATGTTCTATATGAGACCTCACTATTTCGTAGATATAGCCCACGCACTTGGCCTTTACTGTTTACTGGAGGCCAAAACACAAATTGCAGAGAGAAAAACTTCGTTTATGTAAAATGCAAATTTTAGTTTTATCAGACAGCTTGTTTATTTATTTATAAAATATATATATTATCACACTTCGCTGAGGTCTACAGTGTATCGAGCTGCAGGTTAGTTCGCACAGCCTTTGACTGGATACGCCTTTGCCATTTCTCTCTCTTTCGAGCTTTTCACGAAAGGTTTTTACCTCGTATATGCTTAGCGCGTCAATTACGATCACAACATCATCGTTGACAGGATTATTATTGCCATCATCAGCTACAATAAAAACGGCAACCTGTATTTTCAATAAATCTTCCCTCAGTCATCTTCCGCCCTTTTAACCCGATCATTCGCTATTGATCTACATCCGGGCGTAGTTTGCTGGCTGCGTTTGTTAACAGCATTCTACCTTGCTGATACAGGATAACGAGACTAGGTGATGAGGCGTTATCCCCGGTAATCCGCTCGCAGTGGCTCAGTCGAAGCGGGTCGATCAGCTCGGACCTCCAGCAAAGCTCGGTTGGGTCCTCCGGAGTGGCTTATTGAGCTTATAGAATAAACCGAGCAGAGCAGAAATATGGTGAGACAGTTGGAGAGCGCGCCCAAAAAGCTTACAAGCTAATTGTGCTGAACTAGGTGGCTTTTTTCTGGGCGGCTACGTCAGGGTACCCATTCAAGTGCAATACCTGTATCGAGAAAAGATTGCCTTGCATCGGTACAACTAAATATTACTAGATAGCTCAACCGCGTTAGCTTACCATTCGCCCACATCCTCCTAATCAGGTAGTTGAAGAAACGTAACCTTAAACATACAGATCTGGGTGTTTCGGGGGTGTATGTAGATGATCTTGTGGTTCGTGGAGGATTCCTTCAGTAGGATGGCCCGTTCAACTCGGAATAATGTACAAAGCTCAGATTCTCCGAATGTTAACAGAGAGCATCAATCCTCTGGACCACCAACCTTGAACCTCTCTATTCGTCTGTGCCGGCATTCCATGACCGTTCGAGGATTAAATGCAGGCCCGCGCGCCTGTGAAGCTCAACATCAAAATCAGTTTACTGATTTGTACATACACCCAGATCAAGTGCAAAATGATCGAGCTCTTGATTGACGATTAGGGGTCGGATTTTCCATACGTGGATAAAGCGTTCAGGCGTCCCAGTCTACTAACAGCATAATCAGGTTTTGAATTGACTTTGCTATCTATGTATACGATCAGGTAATTCCTTCCTCAACCTGTCATCCAGCTGATGGTACCGTACAAATCTGCATGAACACGTGGCGCGATCAAAGCGACGCTAGAACTACTAGAACAACAACCTTTATCTGTACTAAGATTCGATTCGAGGTGCAATAAGCGTGTCGATTTGTCACTGTAATTTATCTAGCATTGTGGAGCCATGCTGTCTAGCACAAACTCCATTTGGAGTTACTATATCTAGCGCAATTGCTCTCGAATTTCCATCAACAGTGCTTTGCTCTTACTCCATTTCCAAAAGTCTCGCACGTCAGGACGTCTCTTCTAATCGCCTACTTGTTGCACTATACCCTACATCGCTTCGCTAGATTCATTTTTCGGGTTGACGACAAGCTATACAACAAAGAAGCTTCTTGTTAAGCTACGTATACATATACGTACACAACAGTATAGATATGAACGTCGCGACGGGAGGTAGTCCTACTGAAATGCGTGGACTCGACGCAGAAAGTCGCGTTTCAGGTGCTTTTGTAAGCCATCACAGCTTTTGAAGTCCTTGGTTCCAGACTTTGGCAAGCGAATTTGTAATCCCTACCTACTGGGATGCTCGGCGGTCTGGTCGCTGGCCGCGAATCCCTCTGACTAGCATTAATCTACAGGTCCGTACTGTAGCACGTGGGGATCCGGAGAAAGCGTCGCCTAGGGAAAAATCGCTTCACAAAACGGAATGCACGAGAGACCGTGAGAAACCTAAACCACGTTTGACCTAGCGAGTACAGCAATAGATGCTGCCGTTCTTTCACTGTAAAAAAGAAAGAAGCCGATGGTATCTTGAGCGACTGCTGTTGTGCGGCAGTCGTCATGCCATTTCCCGGTTGACTGCTAATCCACTACCGCGACTGCGGTAACGACAGGTTTCGTTATTAGCTAGAACGGGTACTAGTGAGAGAAAGTCGATCCTGCCTGTACGAGGCGAGGTTCGTGTTTCTATCCGCATTCCCTGTCACAGTATGGCAGACGTCGACTGTAAACAGCGTCAACAAAAGCAGCAACGGCCATAGGCAACAGCAAACCATGCTTTTAGGCTGGAAAGGGCCTATTGGCCTTCTGTCTGCTGTAGGTTTGAATCGGTCCGTTTGCAAAGCTCGTAACAATGTATGGCCATTGTTATTACCATATCCGACGACGTCACCTGCAATAGTTGGAGCAGGCTCGAGGTCAGAGTATAAGCACCTAACAAACAGATGATATATATGTGTGTGCGTAAAAATCTAACGACATGTTTCTTCCCTCGTTTGGCTTTGCCTCCCTTAACACTATCACAAAATAATCCGTCTTTCATCATTGAGCCCAATGAGTATTTAATAAATATCGAGTAGCATTAGCATGCAGAAGTATAAAATGTGTACCCGTTTATGGTACTGTGCCGTAGCCATTCGGGCCTTTCAAACTAACGCCTGTTCATTCTTCTAGACCCATCCATTGGAATATCGCGCAACTGTTGGCTTTTCCTCTGTGTCGCTCCGTATTTGATGATTCCAGATCGATCTCCGTTCTTGGCTCCGCTTCGAGTGGCTGTCTTCACCTAGCCCCACCCTGGGGTATGGTCACGTAAGCTATCCAGCCTTGTCGGCCGGTACTGCTTCTTCACACAAACACCTGCAAGCGCAAGCAGACGAGCAGGGCTCTTACGCATCTATTATGAGATCCCGCTATTTTGTGTCTTTTTTATCCTCTTCGTAACGTCTTCGTTCATTTGTCGCTGCTGCGCATAGCTTGTTAGCTAACCCGTTCGTCCAGCCAGTCAATCCTGGTTCTAGTCAATCTAGTTTATCAATCCCACGACGGACCTAGCTAGCGATCTTAAGACTATAAGCAGACATTCTCTACTGTCCAGGAAATCGCGGCCTGTCCCCGCGCGCTAATTTAATTGTAATCAATGTGAAGATACGTTTCGAACAACTGCCTATGCTTGTAACTAACGATGATTTCTGCGTTGCGGTATATCGCCGCTGGGCACCGCTTGTGAACTGGTGCTCTTCGTGCAATACCGCCCAAAGGCGCTGAACTCCAGATGTATATATATACATAAATACATGGAACTGCTGCCTTGTCATCATTCTGCAGCAGCTCCCCGGTGCAGTTTCCCGCGCACCGGACGCACAGCAGCCCCAAGTAGTAATGTATAACCCTTACTTTGAGCAGTCGGGCTGGCCGCAATGGCTTGTTTGGTCAGTCGCATGGTAGATAGGCTATTATAGGGCAGACAAGCAAGCGGTACCACTAGTACTAGAAGTAGCCATCGTGGTAGCTGCAGTCGTAGCAGCAAACGATAGCCAGCACTGGCGACGACGGTGCTTGTCTCCCGACTTGTGCGCGAGTGTGGATCGCTGCTGTGTGGATGGGGATGGCAGCGGTAGTAGCAGCAGCAGCAGCAGCAGCAGTAGTGGTAGTAGTAGTAGTAGTAGTAGCAGCAGCAGCAGCAGTAGGAGGCCGTCGATGAGCGCTACCACCACCAGCAGCCCTTTCCACGACGGGTGAGGGCTCTTTAGGAGGGGCGGAGCTTGGCGGGTTGTCCTCGACGCCAACTTTTGCAGCTCATACAGCTAGGACAGGAGCCGAGAACAAGCGAACAGAGTGCTCGCTAGCTAAACATACAGGCTCGCTGGAAGAGTGATGTAGCTAGCTGTACACGCCACAGGCTAACCGCACCAATTTAGTCAAGAGCGCGCACGGACGTTCGGCAGAAACGACAAACTTTCAGAAGTTCCACCCGTCCACCATCGAGCATAGCCCAGCCTTTCGGAGTATTCTCGTTGTTGTTGTTGTTGTTGTTGTTGTTATTATTATTATTATTATTATTATTATTGTTGTTTCTGTCGGCACAAAGGAGTGAGTTCTTGTTATTTTTCGCACGGAGCAATAAGAGCGGCGCTCGCTGTCCTTCTGGCGTTCGATAGTCGCTCTCCACCTAGGAGCTAGGAGCGAAGCTGAACCCGCCGTTGTGGAGAGTCGCACTCGTTCAGGAGCCCGCTAGGCTAGCCGAAAGCCGACTTCGTCGAAGATCTAAGGCTCCCGGGCGTTGTTTAATACCCATCACAACAAGAGCAGAATCGGGAAGAGAGTAGGTGACAGAGGGGAAAAGAATCGTGGGAGTGCGGCCGGAGCGTGAGTACAGCGACAAACAAAAAGAAGGGGAGACAGCAAAAACAAGCAAGACAGTGAAAGATAACGAGAGAGCTCGGTATCTTTGGGAACTGAAGGAACGGTGCAAAGCTCACGGCGAACGCACTCCCGATAATCGAGGTTCTGGGGAACTGGAAAAGAGAGAGAAAGAGAGAGAGTGAGAGAGAGTAGCTGAGGAAAAACGCACGGCCGCTGTTGGAGAACGCCCGCCTAGAGTGAAAAGGCGCCGTGTTGGTAACTGGCAACCAAGCGAGTTGTCACACCCCCCCCCCTTTCCCCCGGAACCAAACCGAACACACAGCCGTGTGTTCCGTGCGATATAGAGAGAGCGGGAGTCCAATAGAGTCAAGCAGCGGTCCGAGACTGGCTGGCAGACAGAGAGTCAGTCAATTGTGTGTAGTGAGTGAAGTTCTGTCGACGACAACGGTGGTTGTTGTTCTACGACGACCAAGTGAATGCTCATTCAGTGATCGTGCGGTGCTCCTTAAGGAGGAACCCTATTTCCCCGTGGTACTGTGGACCGACGTGTGACCGATTGCCGTGTGGCATGAGTGGCAGCTAGTGACCTGCGAGCCGCGGCATGGAGCTGGCGACGGAGAGAAGTCCGGCCGCGCAGGAGTCAACGCGCCAGCGCGCGGTGAGTAATCCTAGTTATAACAGTAATAACAGCAGTAGATACCTAGAATCAGCCGAAAAGCAGACAAACGTAAGTCGGTGAAGCTGATGAGTGAGTGCATCGGGAGCCGAGATCAGCCGATCGGATGAGCCATGGCGGATGGTCAACATCGCTAGCGCCGCCGGCACCGCTGTCGCCGCCATCCTGGATTACCCTGTATCATCCCTGGGATATCCTATCAGAAGATTATCTGCCATATTTCGCTGGCTCTAAACACGTTTTTACGCGCGCGCTGGTTTGTCGTGAGTGCCAATTAGAAGGGTAGCTGACGCCGAGAGTTCGGTCTGGAGAAACATTCAATTTGTGGTAGAAGTTTTCGACGAGATCGAAGCTAGCAAGCCTGAGAACGTTAGACGAAAAGCGAACCACCATGTGACAAAGGTATGCGAATTCAGTTGATTTTAGCGTCATACTGGCAGCCATTAGCTAGCAGCGTTTGGACGTTGTTATGCAATAATATCATCAATTGACGATTCGCAATATACTTTTGGTGTATGTGGGTTGCGAGAGATCGCGTCCAGTTTCCGGGGCAGTTCGACTGTGGGGTGGCTTATCCGCGGATGTAAACAAACGAAGCCATTGAGCCACGGAGAGGCTGAATCCGCTACTCTGCACACAGCGAAGTACAAATGTCACCCAAGAATTTAAGAGAGCTCATGTTGGCTAGTTTTGCTGCGTTTGTGGTGTGGGAGCCTGTTAATATCCGATGAAATTACTGCCAGATTACCTCTGCGTTGGCGTTCTGACCCTGGTAGCAGGATGGGTAAACTGTGGACGACACGGTGTTCGAATCCGACGAGTTTGTTGTGGTCTGGCTTGCTGTAGTGGGGGGTTGATCGTTGCTGATTGGACCACAGTTCTAAGTGATGGGGGGAATGGAATACTCGACATGGCTGCGCTAGCTGCGTGCTGCATGCGCCCTTAGATTATTCGGAATATTTAAGACAGTTTCGGTGGACTGTAGAAGGGCAAGCAGACCAGATTGAGTTTGCGTCATCTGCAACTATCGTTCGAAAACAGTTGCAATTTTGCTGGACGGCGCGTTGCCCCGTAGCGACGATACGAATTGAATGCTTTTAATATGTATCGTAACGAACCGAACGCGACGATTGCTACACGTGTAGAAGGTTGAATTTGACAGCTGACAGGACGGTATCGGTAATATTGAACCGTTCGAAAGTCCTAGCTCCGAGATCTCGAGTACATTTGCGCCATTGCCAATTATAATAAACAATCATATTTTGCAGTCGGTCTCAATAGTTCGACTGTTAAAATCGATCTGCTGGGAAGATAGACGTTCACATGCATGCGGATTTTGCTTAGCTGTACGGCTTGACTGCAAATCGTTAAATCAATCAATCAATCAATCAATCAATGAAATTTTCGAGACGATAATTAACAACACCTATTATATCTACATATTTGACTGGGGCTTTAGACACATCGATCGTTATTCGACATCGCTCGTGCTCACAGAATATGTTTCCTATGGCTTTCGATTTTTAGATATAATGATGGGTTAGCACCAAACGCTACGAGGTGGCCGACATTCATCCAGAAGCAAAGCCGAAGTCAGTAGTTTCTGTCTCTATATCCGATTATACTAGAATAGCAGACGGACAGATTGGATTGATTGGAGATGGTTTCCTAAATAAAAGTGAGCGCTAATGATAGGCGTAGTATTAGCGTCGAGCAAGCATTGTAACAATGACTCACTGGCCGGTACGTTTCAACGGCGGAATAACGTTTAGATAAATTTGAAGAGTTTAGTGAAACGATAATAGTTATTCGGCCAAATCGGTAAGTTGTGCACTAGCTGTCGTCTAGGGAACCACGACATTTTCATTCTATCTTAAATCTTAATCTTGGGTTGTCTTGATGGTTGTCCGACATGACGCGAGTTGCAAGACGAAATCGCAGATCCCCGACTGCCATTGCTATTACTAGTACAGATTCTATTACCAGTACCAATACAACGATGAAAACAATGAACAATACAAGAAGGCTGGGAGACAACAAAAAGCGGATGCCCACTTGAATGCCCCTGCAGGCATTCACTTTGTCGAGAAGACGCCTTTCCTTTTAAAGGGTTTATTTGAATATCGGCCTAATACTCATATTAGTGATGAGTTAGTTAAGATGTTATTGCTCGATGTATCCATCCCTCGAACGTCGCTTGCTATCGTGAGTTCTCAACTTAGCTACATTTAACGCCTGTCTGTTTATATACAATAATACCTAGTGACAGCTTTTCGGGCATGTCACTGTATGTGGGAACGTATATTGTTTGTAGCTCCGAGCACGCTTATCGTGCTCACCCAAAATGTCAATTCAATTTTAGTAGTCTCAAGACTTCTTTAAAGATCAAACGCATCGATGAAGTTTCGTGTACACTCGGGAATAAGATGGGGCCTTTCTGCCTATTGCCCTTATACTTACTGTTAACGCTGTTACCGCCATCATTTAAACCAGATTTAGATTCTGGTCGGGGCTTCTCGTGGAAACCCCTTCAAGTGTGAACTGTTTGATGTTCCGCTCATTAAGCATCGTAATGAACAATTTTAATTAACTGAATAGTTTTAAACAAGTTTAAGTTTTTTGTTTCGATAACTTTTATGTCTCAAAATATTTTGAATCGCTTAACTTGCAAATGGTAATCCGCAACGTATAGTTTTTATACACACACTATGCTCTAGTGAACAAATATTCCGCTCATTTTTTGTTGGGGCACTTGGTGATAAGGGCATGAAAAGCATTGAGTCTGTTCACATATTACGTGTCATAACTAGCCTTTACGTGGTTAGCCGTGCTCTTATCAATACCTTAGGCGCAATACATTGCAATTCTAGTGTGTGTGTATATATATATATCCTGTCGGCTCGATCAGCATGCGCCTTACTATCCAGGATCACTCTCCTCTGTTATCTCCGGATAATATATATATATATAGATAAATGGATAGATAGACATACGTGTGTATGTTCATTTGGTAGGTTGTTAAGCGCTAATTCGGTGGCCATCACGTCTCGAACGGAAGGGGCGGGGCCGTTTTGAGGCGGCTTCAGCAGAATCGCGGTGTTCGGCGGTGCCTGTAGTGTCGGCTGGCGGCACCGTCTGCGGGCAATTGCGGGAAAGCAAACTGCCGCTACACTATAGCGTATATAGACGACATTGTCATAAGCGGCGTCGACGGCGCGCACCAGCTGCGGGCAGTTGTAGCCAATCGTTGTTGCTGTTGTTGTTGTTTTGACTGTAACAGCAGACGCAGCGGCGGAAGCAGCAGCGCTGGCACCAGTTGAACGAACGTTCACCGATAAAGCACCAAATTCGCGCATCGGGCGCATCCATTTGGCGTTATCATCTTTCGTTCAACGTTCTTGCTACCGAAGGTCACACACGGCTGTCGTTGGTGCCATTGCAGTTCTTAGTGTAGCAGAGCGGCGGCGGCGGCGGCGGCGGCGGCGGCGGCAGCAGGTGAACGGGCAACAACGACGATTTCGACAAAAACTTGGAAATTGCCCCAGGAACGAAGAAAACTTTCGGACTTTTTCCAACGGTGTTTTAGCTTAGCGTTTGTTGTCCATGTTGCCACTTTTAGCGATAACGATGTTGATTGTGATGGTGATTGCGGTAATAACGGCGATGACGTTGTTGGTCTGGTTTTCTGTTGTTACTACTAGAAACAGAATATCTATTTTGGAACTAGACATATCTCAGATTTTTTGTACAATGTTTGTTACGAAGGTCTGACTTCATTATTGAGAGAAATCAACTCCGTGCGTGATATTGCTTCTAAAGAGAGATGGGGATGACTCGCATTGTACCGCCATTTTGAGTTATTTAGGTTGTGCAGAGGTTTGTACAGCTCTAGCATATGTATATACTGTATTTGGGGCATCAACCCCGAACGGATCTGTCCTTTATCAGAGTTCAAACGCGCTTGATGATGGTTATCCTTTATGCACTATTCAAATAATTTCCCTCCATCAATAAGAAGAGTCTGTACCATCTACCGAGTTGGTAATTTTAATTGTTGCTTATACTTGTTTCTGTCATTTTTTGCGGATGAAACTGCAGCGATCGGTCACCTTGTGCACATACCCTATGGGCATATGCGGTCTGTCTGCCTTTCTGCATCTATAACCTCGATTGCCCGCACTCTTTCTCGCCATTGAATCTTTCATTCTACTCGACTGACATGAGCGGAACGGGTCATAGAGAACAGTGCAAGCTGCCGAAAAGCACTTTAATGATGGTTATCATAGACTGTTTTGTAGCATGACAAGAAAGCAGACCAAATCAGATGAATCCGAAAGTCAATCTTTTTAAGCCAATGGCAGCTGCGGTGACAGAGTGAGAAAAGCCAATCGTTAACTCTGAGCCATCCGACAATTCCTGCAGCATCCTCTCACAGCCTGCTGATCCGCTGCTATTGCTAACTTCTGAAATAATCCACCCTATCGTTCCTACTCGAGATCGGTGAATCGTCCTGTATGTTACGCTTCTCATCCTCAAATGACGAAGGCCGGGCGACTTGTTCTATCCGTCCGGCCTCAAACCGACCGGTTAGCGTCATCTACCCAAGCATCCAGTGGACCTAAATGCCCTTGGTGACTCCATGCTATTATTAGATGCGAACAAGTGGGTCGCACAGTGGTTATAATAATACAATACGCAATTGTACCTACGCTGGCGACGGCGTAGCTAGCTGGGTTCCAATACGTGCAGCCAAACAGGGCCAGGCAAAGCGACAACTCAAATCACCATCGGAGAGATTTCAATGCTAGCTGGCTAAAGGTATAGTTTACAATTAGCCCCTTCTTGGAAGACAAATCTCAATAGCTTTAGTCCGCGACGCATCCCCCGGTAGAGAAGCTATACAATATACAGAATAGAGAGGGTGCGTCAGTTGAGCCGAGCTACATGAGTGTTCTCGGTAGGGTGTACTATACATACATACA